CCCTTCTGTAAAGATAATAAACATTTACTATTGTGACCTTGACTTCCATCCCCACTTCTCTCCAATTACAAAGGAATTGAAGAGAAGCGAGTTTCAGTGCCTGGCATCGGTGCAAGGCAGTGATTCCCGCTTTTGGAATAATTTAAAAGGAAGTGAATCTAGATATGTTTTTTTCATTCATTTTTGGACAAATTACAGTAATATAAACAACAAAATACAAGTAATATAAACATAAGAAACGTCAGAAAAAAGAAAAATTATATAAATAAACGATATAATCGTATTTTCTAATGGCAATAGTGCCAGATTTTTATTACAAAAAAAAAAACGCGATTATATTAAAAAAAGTTGTGATTACGATTTTTAAGCTTAGTGCTCAACATAATCCCTCTTGAATCATCCCTATCACCCCCCAATAAATCATACAACGGCGCAGTCCATTTTAAACCAATGGGAGCACAGGTAGAAATGATTGACAGGTCAAATGACGTCACTTACGTGACGTGAATCACGTCACGATGAGGAAAACCATTTTGCACTGGACAGTACATAAATATATTTCACATATAGGGCTGCAATTTTCAAATTCTAGACCTATAAATTCCCACTGTCTGTCCGTTGCTTGTCCTTCGTTAATCTCGAGAACGGTGTTAGATAAATAAAAGTCAAGACAATAATGGAAAACTTAGGGCCAGGAGGCCCGATTAACTATATACGAACTTCCGGTTTAGACAGAAAGTCACGTGAATTCAATTCAAAATTTTCCCCTAAATGGAGTTACACAGATGACTGGCGTGACTCAGGAAAAGTATGAAATACAGGGGCAAGACACTACTAATTTAAGATAAAAAACATATATTTTAAATTAAATAAATTGAGAGCATGATTACAAATTGCAGCCCGGCATTGTGACGATGTCACAATAAATAATTGCTCGTTTTGTTTTAGGTCTATTAATGAAGAGGTCAACTTGCTTGTATCCGACGAAACAAAGAATGACTATCATTTTAGAATTTATAAATAAGGTAATATGGGCTAAATTATTAAAATTCAAGAAACGCAAAGAAACTTTACAAATAAATCAATTTATAATATTTAATAAATATCTTAAAATAAGATGCTTTAAAATACTGTATTAACATACAACAAACACAAATATTGATTTACCCGGGCCCATATTCACGAACGTCTTGAAAGATACTACATAGTATTTTTCCAATATCGTAAGTTACGAGAAAGTAACGATATTTTACATTTCGCATTCACAAAACACATCGTAGCACTTACGAGAAAACAGAAGAAATTGGTGGAGAGAGTGTGTCTTATTACATCACTAGTGACCGCTTCCGTTTTAATAGATCTAATAGGAAACGTTTAGGAATTTTCTTGCTGCACTTGGTCTGAGGAATGGTAGCCATTTATTTCTTTAGAACTAAAATGGTAATAATTAGTTATTTTAGATTAATTATTTATATGTATAATAGATGATATCGAAAAATGTAACCGATCTAAGTGTAGAACGAAATCTACCCAAAATTGATATTCGTAGTTATATTAATAGAAATATTGAAGAAACAGTACAACATATGAAACAGTATAAAACTGTTTTATAAACCTTTTATAAACAGTTTTAATTCCACCGTGAAGAATTCTATCAGTTTTTTCGTCATTTGATAACATCTTAGAAGATTTGAATCAGAGAAGTTTAGAAGAAACAATCAGGAAAAACCATCGATTTGATTATCTATCGATAGAACCAAATACTCGAAACCAGTACAGTACATAGACTCACAAGAGCCCTTAGATATCATAGTAGTTACGGGACTTTTTACAATATCTTAGCTTACGATGTACTTTGTGAATACGATACTTTTTGCATCGGGCAACTTACGATACGAGGCGTTTGTGAATCCGGGTCCCGAACGTTGAGATTAACGCCAAACGATTGCCGGACTATATCGGGCTTTATTAGCCTAATGCTACTGTTAATAATTAAATGTTAAGCAATTTGGCGTAAAGGTGAGTTTAGGCGCGTCATCTCTTCCTAAATTTAATAACTATAATTAAATTAATATTTAATAATTAATTTAGAAGGTTATGAGTCCCATTTCGGACTCTTAATTTCCGCTACCGTACAACGCCGCATTGGAAATTACATTACCCAGACTCCCGTCCAATTTTCTCTTCCAGAACTATTAATGAATTGAGATACAGTATAACCATACTGGTTACTCACGCAACGACTGGGAACGCTTTCACGTTTAATTATTAATACTGTCATGAATGTAGCACGATATAATCTGGCACTCGTGTCGCGTTAATATTAATATATAAATGTTTATATATTGCACGTCGGCGTAAACAGATTAACATGGCAGAATTGCAAATAACTTTCAGTAACTTTCGCTGTTAAAATAGTGTAAATTTGTAAAAATATTTGCAACAACTTTGTTTCATCGTAATTTCACAATTTCTATGAAATTTCCGGACAAAATTAATAGTTCACCCGGACAGTGAGTCAATTCCCGGATTGTCCGGGTGAAAACCGGACGGGAGGTAACACTATTTATGACAATGACTGAAATGCCTGAATATGGTGTATTCTAGTACAGCGTTTCTCAAACGCACCCAATATATTTGTAATGGTTCCGCGACCAGAATGTTTATAATATAAAATTTTTAAAAAATCTGGTAAACTGGAGTCACTATATTATATTATATAATGAAATAAAATTATACATTATTGATAATAACTGCTACGTGTGAAATTTAACATTGAGTACATTTCTATTAAGAGCAGTTCACCAATTTTCATTTGTAACAAATAACTTACTTTAATTTCAATTTATTAAAAAACGTAAGTCTGACGATTGCAAATAAAATAGACTGTTTCAAAATTATTCGTGAATCTATTTTACTTTGAAAAATATTACAAGGTTTTTTTAACAAACTTATAGTTTTTTTAAAATGTACTTTTCAGCTTGTAAGATTTTGTCAATTTCAATTTGTTTATACACAGAAAAAAATTATTTAAAAATTATTTATTGATCCACTTGTGCCGAAAGTCATCCGTTATTTATTTTTATAGTTTATTGTTATGTATGACAATAAATCTAAAAGTTCGAATAAGTAAGGAAATATTTTCAAAACCATTTTAACTTAAATGGCTTTATGACTACGACCTTACATGAAATATCTATTTTGATGTTATTCAAAATAGAAAAGAGAAATCAATTTCATATACACATATTCTATAATCATAACTTTATTACTAAATGACAATAATAATAGATGCATTTACTGTTCCTAGTTCTTAGACAGAATATTTCAGTAATACAAGTATTTCTGCGAAAGGTGGTGTCATTTCCGACACATTAAAATATTAACGCGAGCCATAGTTTTAGAAATGCTGTTCTAGCACACTAGTAGTTTTTATTTTTGTGAAAACTTAAATAAGGAATAACTGATATTCGGAACATTTAGATGCTTTATTGGAGTTTAGGTATATAAAATCCAGTATGAGTTTCGTAACTTTCCCGTCAATAAACTTAAAATTGTGAACCTTTAAATACCAAAATTTAATAGCATCACTGTCCTTAATACACAAACCTCTCTGCAAACTTTCAGGAATTTTCGACAAAAAGCATAGGAGTTATTAAGCTTCAAAGTGGGTGAACAAAATTGTATCCCCCATACACATATACTCTAACATCCATACATACAGAACCTTTTTTTTTGTATTTCTCGATGTTTCAAGGCCCCGAGTCCAAAAATGTAAAAACCTTAGGGGTTATTTTTTTTACCTAATACCATTCTTTCCCTCTGTTATATATAACTGCTGAGAAAATAACAGACTTTTAGATTTTAACGTCCAACTTCAGGAGAATTAGTTAAAACATTTAAGAACAAAATTGATCGTTTAGGCCTAAAGACGATATATCATTCAAGAATTCCGCCGAAGATGGTATTAAAGTTCAAAAGTACTAAGAAAATCTGTTTCTCTTTTATCTATATAAATATATATAAATGGACGTGTGTGTCCCTATATTTCACTTTTCCCCAAAACTACACATCGCACGTGAATGGTGTTTGTATGTGGTAGTAGCCCCAAGTCTCCATTCGTGCACTATGGCGGTTACGTCTCGATAGCTATAAGGGAGCGGGAGATATGGGCTTGAAAGTGGTTGAAAGTGGAAAATTTTCTATTTCGATTTTAAAAATTTTCGAATTCGAATTTAAATTCGAATTTGTTCGATTACAGAACGATTGTAAACGTTCCAGAAAACTGATCAAATTAAAAATAGTTCGTTTGACTGGACGTAAAAATTCTCTAATTAGTCTGGAAACGGGGACCTAATTCTTGCATTCTGTGAAAACGGGTAAGATTGGCTATAATGTAATTATCTTAATCTTCACTATCGTTACTTTTTGCCCACAAATAAAAACACAGCGAAGCGGGTCCTTGCAGCTAGTTTTCAATAAATTTGGTTTCCTAAATTTGATTTCATTTTTATGTGAGTTTATTATTTTTATTATTATTTATGTATATAGGGTAAACATTGGTAAATTCGGGATAATATTAATTATTCTTTAATTATCGGACATATAGTTCATAAATGGACATATTAACTATATTATTAAATTAATTAATAACCAAACACCTTTATCGTTGCCGAGAAAATTTAATTAAAACAAACGTTTTCGACCTATTCCATAGGCCATCGTCATTTTTAAAACGGACAATTTTTTTTAAATATTATTAAAGGTACCATACTCAAGATAATAGCATAGCTTTTTGTCATTACAAATATATTTATATCTTAATTTTCTAGGAGTATATTTTTTGTTCCGTACAGGTGATTATTTCGTGATATCATGGGTAATTTCATCAGACGGTCCTTTAGCTTATATATTTGGCTGCAATTTGAAAAAGTTGTAATGCCCACTGTCATTTATCTGTATGTCAGTATGTCTGTCTGTTCTTCTTTAACTCGAGAACATACTTAGATAGATGAAGTAGAACAGATATGGAAAGGCAGAAGATCCCGATTAACTATATAAGAACGTACGATCTATAACGAAAGTTACCTGATTTCAATTCAATAATTTTCCTCTGAAGGGTGTTAGACAGATGATCGGTACGACTCCGTTGCTAAAGGAAAAGTATGATGTACAGGAGCAAGCAGCCACTAATTTGAGATGGAGAGCATATATTTTAAATTAAATAAATTAAAAATGATTAAAAATTGCAGCCCGGCATTGTGACGATGTAACAATAAATAATTGCTCCTATATTGAACACTCCATCCTCGTGATTTTAATGAAATTTATTTTTTGTTGCTTAAACGCTATGTAGTGTAGTAAATTTGAACACTTGGCATTCTTTCATCTTTATTTTAATTTAGTTGACTTAATTTAGTTCTTTGAAATTTATTTTTTTCACATTGATGATATTGTGGCTTCTCGAGTAGTAATTTCGTGATATATTGATTATTTTGTCGTACTTCATTTTGGACTTAAAAAGTATGGCAGATACTCAAGATAAATTCAACTAACATTATCTGTAAGTTATACATATTATTATTATCTCGCCGTAAATTATCTCAGTTCACACCGATTAACAACGCTTTGTGTGAAATTTAAGAGTAAGGTGTAATTTTAATTTAAAGGTCAGGGTAGATGATCAGTGTAGCCCACACTGACTAACTTCTACTGCTACTACTAATGTCAATAAGTCGTTAATTGTTTTATTGTCTTGTATACGAAAACTCTCTTCCTGATTTTGATTAAGTCAGTCAAATTACAATGTTATTATTTTATTGTACTCGGAAGAATGTTTTCTTTAACGTTTAATTAATAACTAGCTTTATTAGATCTGATTAATTTTATATTTTATCGCAGTTTAACCGGCATGCCAGTAACCCCGGAGTTTCCCGTCATGTTTGTCTCTCCCGTTTATAAGTGGCATGCCGGTCACTCCGCAAAAATACGATAAGGAAATTTAAACGCACAATACTATAAAATAATAATAACCGCGTGTTTAAATATATCTCCACTTCTTAGTTTATTGGAATTTCAAAGAATTAACATTTAATATTAACTCTTAACATCATAATTTTGTTTGTAAATTTAAAATAAAACTAGACTCTTAAAACACTTCTACAAATTTCCGGTTTTCTTCTTCTTACAATAAAGATAGTTTATCTAATAGTTAGGCCTATAAAATGACCGTTTACTCAAACGGACAAAATTTTCAAATTTAATATCTTCCACGCTATCTGAGAGAAAAATTTCAAATCTCATTTTACTTTACTTATTTGATGAAGATGAATTTAAAAAGTATCACGAAATTATCAATGTTTACCATATGTGAACTCCAATAAAGCAGCTCAAAGTGTTGAATATAAATCAATTGGAGTTTGGATCTTGCAAGATTCATTTATGAAATTCGTTTCATAGAAAAATTTATTTATATAATAGAATTTAAACTATTTAGTGTTTGGTAGTTGCAACGCTTTAATAAGTACTATAACAAAACTAGTAAAATTATTATTTATTAATGAAACGTAAAATACACTTATTAATAGAAATATATTTCATTGCTTTCTAATAGGTATTTTCATGTAATTTTTTAATTATTTTATGTCATAATTTATAAAATTTGTTTTTACGATAATGGAAAAAGAATTCATCTAGCAAATTTACGGATACGTGTGATTAAGAAATACATTAAATATTAGAAAAAAATTTATTAATTTAAGATACATCATATTATTTAGGTTATACTACGTATATATAATATATACATTAACGTGTAATAAAATTAATTTTTAATAATTTAAATAATTTTATTATAGTTAGAATGTAATCCTCAGAGTAACATCAGTAATATGACTCACGTTCTACAATGTTATGGTAAGTTTATTCATACGATCATAGCTGGATGGGACGAAAGTGAATGCTGTTTTGTGCATTCTATTCTCGACAATGTTAGTGATATGAAAAAACATTTAAAATACGTTTTAACATCCTTTCCAGGTAATATAATAAATAATTTAATAATAATAAACTAATTGTAAAATGAATAGATGTCATTTTATAAAACTTTTCAAGATTTTTAAAACACTTTTTAGGTTCCAATCCAGGAAAGGAAATGTATGTTCGTATGTATCATCGTTTTGTTTATTTAGATTATTGCTGGAATTCTACGGATCGTAGTTTTTGGTTATCAAAAATATTAAAACCTTGGCCTCTTGTTCATCAAGCAAAACTATTATTTTTATTATATGGTCCTGTATGTTCAGGTAACTGTATAATACTTAAACTATTGGAATTGGAAAAAATCTGTTTAACATTTATAGCTGTAAATCGTTTTAAATTATATATTTCATTTTATTATAGATAAAATTCAATGGTTTGAATTAACAGAGAATATTCCTGAAGATTATTCTGAAGCTAGTAGAAAATTAACAGAACTCGCTTACATTATACAGCTAATGCAACAAAATACTCTTGAATGGAATGGAGATGATATTATTTCTATACTTGAAGAGATTACTGGTAATATTAGAAAAAATGTTTTTTAATATATTAACGGAAATTCTAATTCGTTTTTATTTCGTGCATGAAATTTTTTATCACTGCAGATACTCCAGAAGAGTGGTTGCCGGAAAATATTGCAATTTTATTGTTATTTTGTGGAGATATTGTAGCAGCAATGTTTATGGGAAATAAATTACTAAATGGAAAAACGATAGAACTTGCAAATTTAGTAATATATTTAGCTATGGTAAGAAAAATTTTATCCTGTAAAATGTAAATCTAATTATTTAATATATTTTGTGATTTTTTAAGGCATGTACGAAATATGGCTTTCACCAAAAATGGCTGGTTCAATTAATAGATAAGATTTGTCATATGAGCAAAAATAAAATGGATCGTCAGAAATTTATACAGTTGATACCAGTAGCATTTCAAGAAATAATTTTGGATATTCATGATATAGGTAAGTTATTATTTTAAAAAGTTTTGTTATATNGAAAAATTTTATCATGTAAATTGTAAATCTAATTATTTAATATATTTTGTGGTTTTTTTAAGGCATGTAAGAGATATGGCTATCACCAAACATGGTTGGTTCAGTTAATAGATAAGGCTTGTCATATGAGCAGAAATAAGAAGGATAGTCAGGAATTTATACAGATGATAGCAGCAGCATTTCAAGAAATAATTACGGAAATTAAAGGTATAATAAGTAAGTAATTATTTTAAAAAGTTTTGTTATATTTTATTAAAGAAATAAATTTATTAATAGACGGAGACAGCGAGTCGTACCTTAAAATAATTATTGAAGCACAGACATCATTTTTCTCTGTTATTATCAATCGGGCTTTTTTCCAGTCGACCGCATTTACCTGCAAGTTGGTTTCAGAAGAATAAAATATAAAATGGAATGTTATTTAAACTGTAACTTCATATTAAGTTCAGATTTCATATTTACATATTTATGGTAATTGTTATTGCACATGTATTTTGTTACGTTAATTTGTTTATATTTAATTCTTATGTCTGAGTCACAGACTTGTTATAAACAAAGTAAATTTCAGAAAAGTTTTTAAATTTTCATTTTGTTTAAAATTAATGTATTTGTATATTTTACAAATAAATAAATTCTATTTTTTATTTTTCGCTACTTGATTATTATTTAATTAGGACAAGATATACGTATATATATTACAAAAATGTATAGGCCTATAAATTTTAAATAGATTTAATTGTTTCATAAAATACTGGATAGTTATATTGAAAATTGTATTGCAATTATAAAAGTTTAACTAACAAGAAACCCGTCGAAGGTGACGATTTTATATTCAATTAAAATACTATGAGCTCATTTAAAATTTGGCATTATACACAAATATCATATATTTTTCGGGTCCGTCTGCAGATAATTTGCGTCTACCTGTCCTGCGGTACCGTGAGGCTTCTTTCAATTTTACATCCGGATCACAGGGTGGCAATTTGTCATTCTCAAGATCGAATGACTTCGGCTGGCGGAGCTTGGGATTAACGGCCACGGTAGAGGAGGCTGCCTCGTGGCAATCATTTTGTTTTGGGCTTCGCGAATAAAACTGTTATCGTTAGACCTACCGACAGTGGTATGGGTTCAAGAACTTTAACCGGAAATACCGATTTTTCTCCGTTTTTTTTCATAATTCACTATACATTACTTTAATTTTATTGATTTTAATTATGATGTCTCTATCAATTAATATGGAGTCGGATTTGCAAATACTTAAATTTAATGCCAATGGCATTATCGAAGAACTTAAAAAATATTCTGTAGAAAACCCGAATGCCAAATTAGGAGTTGCATGCCATCTCACGTATATATTATCACAATTCACTCGGGTAATTCAACTTGCCGAAACAATTGTTGAGAAAAATTGTATCACATTATCTTCACCAAAAATTTTCGGCACTTTTAACAAAAGAGGATTTGAAAGGATTTCGGAAAGATGAAAGTGATAGCACTATAGGAATCTTGACGGACATACAACAAGTTGTTAGTAATATTGGGAAAAATTCTACAGCTGATTTATTTGACCGAGCAAAAGACAATGCCCCTAGTTGTAGAGATATCTCAAATAAGGGAATTACAATCAAATCAGTTCACGGACCACCTTTGCCGAACCACACTCTTCTTGTATATAGTAATCAAGAGGGTGCTACGTCTGAACAGACTAAAAGTTTCTTAACATGTGAAACCACAAGTAATTGGAGTAGGAATCAATCGTTTACACAAACTAAAAAATGGGGGCATAGCTGTTGATTTGGATAAAAAAAACGACCTTTTGCTATTTACAGACACTGTTAACAAGATTCCTGGTCTCAGCACACGTCTACCTAAAAAGCGATTTCCTTTGATGAAAATCGTATCCGTCCCTAAAACTGTCGAGAAAGAGAACTTAATATCAGACATTTACGAGCAGAATACATGCTTCTTCCAACCTTATACTCATAAGCAATTTACAGAAAAAATTCATTTGCGATTCCCTTTAAAACAAAAGAACGACAATTACCTTACATGGATTATCGAGGTGGATCCTGAAATCAAAGATATACTTATAAAGGAGGGAAAAATTCACATACATTGGTTAAATTGCCCAGTATATGATTATATTCCTATAATACAATGCTACCGATGCCTATCTTTTGGCCATTTAGCAAAAAATTGTGCTTTTACTGAAACCAGATGCAGCCATTGCAGCGAGAATCATCTTTACAAAAATTGTACCAATAGACACGAACAACCTAAATGCGTCAATTGTTTAACAGAGAAACGAGCGCATCATAACCACAACTCAATGGATAAAAGGTGTCCAATATATATCAGAGAAACGACTAAATATATTTCTAGAACTGAATATATACATTAATTATTTGTATACCTTTAGCTGATTTATCATGAACTACCTAGAACTTTCAAAATCAACTGGACTTTTCGTGGTTGGCAATGAAGTGTTCAACTATTCTGCACGCCAGTCTCCAATTGGCAGATGCTACATTGTGACGTGCATTATTCTGGATGAACATATACCTATTTTGTGTTTAGGAGTCTTGCAGTTTCTGTGAATATGAACTCATATACTGTTATTTTTTTTGTTTCATCAGATGTCAGTTAATGTATATATTGACTCTTACATGTACTTATTTCGTGATATCTGCAGCACATTTTACCTAGAGAGTGGTGCATTTAATGTTTTGCATCCTGCCAATCTTATGTATGTAGATTTGTATATAATTATGATACTTGTTATCTTATCTTAATTTTAATTTTACTTGATGCATTTATTGAATCTTTTATTGTATTCTCTCTTATCACTTATGTTAACGTAACACGTACTATAACACAGTATTTTTACATGGTGAACATTTATTATCATATGTATTATTACTGTATCTTATTTGATGTTTTTATTGTAAGTGTAACTCGTGTTATTATGTGTAATATTCCTTATGTTATTTAATGTATCTACTGATTCTTTTACCTGCGAACTCTTTCAATATTTATATAAGCATATATACATATTATTTTGTTTATTCACATAAGTGTAGCACATATTATCTTGTGTATCATCATTCTCCTCATAAGAGTTACACATCTTATCTTGCGTGTTGTGCACTTCCTGTTTAGCATTCCGCTAACCTTATGTATATAGATTTATATATAATTTATTACCTGTTATATTTTATTCAATTTTACTTTATTTAATGTATTTACTGACTATTTACCTGTATATTTTCATCATTTATAACAGTGTATCTTCTAAATCCTGTGTATTATTATTATTTTGTAATGTGTATAACCGGTAATGCTTATGCGGGGCCGGTCTGTACGTTTAATGTACAATATTAAAATGAATGAATGAATGGTATGGGTTCAAGTTTATTCTTTTTGTTGGTAGGTTTGCCGAGAAATCCATCAACCGGCACTAAGTAACGAATTGGACGGTTAGAATCACGTTTTCTTCTCATGGAGTAACAGTCACAGACTCTGAAAATCAAAATACTGTAGTCTAGTTCAAAAATAAAAATGATTTTTTATTTTATTATTTCAATAGATAGCGTAGATGTTTAAATTTATTCACGTTAAAAATAACGAAAAAAGCCTTTTAATTAGCAAGAAAAAATCAAGGAATTCAGAATAGGGGTGAGCAACGGGATTGTTTTAACTGTTAAAAAAAGTAATAACTAAATGGCTAGATGAAGCGCGAGAGCGACATGTCTGTCCCGTAGACTTAACGCTGTACAGTATTTTGCACGAACGGTTCTGAATTTTTCATTTCTGATTGCAATGGATTTATCCACAGGGCAAGAGCTTTATTTTGATATACCTGAACAGAGCCGTAACTAGGATATGGGCAATGTGGCCCCGCCATAAGCGCCAATTTAATAAAGGCGCCAACGAGATTTCGGAATAATATGTATTCGAAATTAATAACACAAAAAATTTTTTATATTTATATTTATATAGTATTTAAACGTCATTAGATAATTTTTTACAATAGCATTTTTTACAATAAAATTATTACTTTTTTTAATAATAAAATTAAAAAGGCGCCATTTATATTCTTGGCCATAGGCGTCCAAAATCCTAGTTACGGCTCTGTACCTGAACCATGTTTATATCCTTAGCCGTTCTCGCAAACGAAGCTGGACAGTATTTGAGGCTTATCAAATTTATACTTAGACTAGCTGTTACCTGCGGCTTTGCCCGCGAGGATTTTGCAAGAAAACCCCATTTATATTCAGTATTTCAACAACCATAGTACTGTAATTGTTATATAACACCTACCGCTGAGAATGATGAGAATTGCCGAGAATCAAACGAACTGTTTTTAATTTGATCAATTTTCTGGAACGTTTACAATCGTTCTATAATCGAACCAATATGCAATAACAAATTTGAATTTAAAACGGTTCGAACATTTTAAAAATCGAAATAGATAAAAATATTTATAACAATGTCTGAAATGTTATCAATTTAATACACCTAAGTACTCAATGAAGACTAAACGTAGTTGAAAATGAAAAATCGCATCTAAAATAGTATAGTAGAAGCTGTTCTTCCGGTTAAACCTTAATCCTTTCCCTCTCCCACCCGCGGGAGGATTTCGAAAAATCCCTTCTTAGTGTGCGTTTTCATGACGTACCCTAACTGTGTACCAAATTTCATCTCTTTAGGTTCAGCGGTTTGCTGTGAGCGATGATGAATCAGTCATTCAGTCAGTCAGTCAGGACAAGTAATTTTATATATTTAGATTATTATTATTATTATTGTTATGTGGGTTATACTCGGTTCACACTGGTGGCAGTGTACTATGCCGGACAAGGGTCAAGGCATAGATAGGAACCAAAAAAAATTAAATAAGTGTGTCAGTGTCAGTGTCTGTATTCAGGAATTTCCTAACAATATGGCATGTATTCAATATAGTGGCCTTCTGCAGTGTGATATATGTATTTCTATTCAATTGTAATGTTCCCAGGCTTTTGTGTAGTGTGTGTGGTATCACACCTGTACAGAAGAGAACGACAGGTACAATAAGCACTCTATCCATCCTCCACAGATGCCTTATTTTCTGGGCGAGTTCTGTGTACTTGCTAATTTTTTCAGTGCATGTGTTTTGTACATTGTGAGTGCTTGGAATGGCTACGTATATAATGTATGTGATTTTATTGTGTTTGTCAATGAGTGTGATGTCCGGTTTGTTGTGGTAAATTGTTTTATCTGTGATTATGGCTCTGTCGTAATACATTTTGTGCGTGTTATTTTCCAATACTGTCTGTGGAATATACTTGTAGTATGGTTAGTGGATGTCTAATAAGTTGTGTTTCTTTGCAAGCTCTTGGTGTATTATATTTGCTACTTGATTGTGTCTATGTAAGTAATCTGTCTGTGCCAAGAGCTTGCAACCAGAAGTGATGTGTTGTATAGTTTCTGGCATGATGTGACATTTTCTGCATGTGTCATTTGTNATTATATTTGCTACTTGATTGTGTCTATGTAAGTAATCTGTCTGTGCCAAGAGCTTGCAAC